CCGTCGTGTCAGAATACAGGGCCGGCTGCTCAGCTCTGCAGCGGGACCTTACCTGTTCCTCTATCCAGTGCCGCGCTGTCTTCCAGGCTTCTGTAGTGTGGGAGCTCGGCTTGATAGCCGGGTGCCCAGTGCACATGCGCGAGAAGCGGTGCGCTTTGTAAATAGTAAGGCGGCACCTGGGACACATCACAGGTCCCAGAAGCCGTCGGACCAATCACAAAGCGCAGTGCTTCTCGCTCATGCGCACTAGGCACCCAGCTGTTAAGCCGAACGCCCACACTACAGAACCTGGGAAGACAGCACGGCGCTGGATAGAGGAACAGGTAAGGTCCCACTGCAGAGCGGACACTAACCAAAGAACAACTCCGCGGAAGTAAGAGCGAGTACCTGTCAAATTCAGGAACTCGCTCCCTCCCCCTCCCTAAAGGTCAGCAGTCATCTCCTGTACTGTCCGCAGTCTCTGGTCATCTCCTGTACTGTCCGCAGTCTCTGGTCATCTCCTGTGCTGTCCGCAGTCTCTGGTCATCTCTTGTACTATGTCTACAGTCTCTGGTCATCTCCTGTACTATGTCTGCAGTCTCTGGTCATCTCCTGTACTGTGTCCGCAGTCTCTGATCATCTCCTGTACTATGTCCGCAGTCTCTGGTCATCTCCTGTACTATGTCCGCAGTCTCTGGTCATCTCCTGTACTATGTCCGCAGTCTGACCATCTCCTGTACTATGTCCGCAGTCTCTGATCATCTCCTGTACTATGTCTGCAGTCTCTGGTCATCTCCTGTACTATGTCCGCAGTCTCTGGTCATCTCCTGTACTGTCTGCAGTCTCTGGTCATCTTCTGTACTGTGTCTGCAGTCTCTGGTCATCTTCTGTACTGTATCCGCAGTTTCTGGTCATCTCCTGTACTATGTCTGCAGTCTCTGGTCATCTCCTGTACTATGTCCGCAGTCTGACCATCTCCTGTACTATGTCTGCAGTCTCTGATCATCTTCTGTACTATGTCTGCAGTCTCTGGTTATCTCCTGTACTATGTCTGCAGTCCATTGGTTTAGAATTTTTTTTTTCCTGTTTTCTGCCTCTAAAACCTAGGTGCGTCTTATGGTCAGGTGCGTCTTATGGAGTGAAAAATACGGTATATAAAAATTCAAATAAATTAAAATAAAATTAAAAATCACTAATAAAACAATTTAAATCAAGTTCAACATTTAAACCATTCGGAGATAAAGCTTCAGTCTTATATATCCATTTCGTCTCACATTTAGATAATTCCCTAATCCTATTTGATCTCCTCCAGGCTTTGGGGATGGATTTGATAGCCCAAAATTTAATATTAGTTGGATCACAATTATGATGTTATTTGATATGCAAAAAATACACTATGGTATTTATATCCTTTCAATATATTTTTAAGATGTTCAAGTATTCTAACCCTCAAATGTCTCTTTGTTCTCGCAATAAATCCCTCTTTAATCCAAATGTTTCATCTTATCCGCATCTAGATGTCTTTAAAAGCTTGGTATTGAGGGATCTAGAAACAGTGGTACCTAAGATGAATGTAAATCCTAGACATGTTCAGGAAGGCATCAAATTATTAGAAGAATGCAAAGACATCATTATACACCCCGCTGATAAGGGTGGAGGAGTTGTGGTTATGAATAAATCATTTTATCATAATCAGATCTCTGATATGTTATCTGATGATAGTACTTATGTGAAGATTAATAAAGATCCTACTAATAAATATAGAGAGGAATTGAAAACATTGGTAAATTGGGGTTATAGGACTAGAGTGGTAAGTAAGAAAGAGAAACAATATCTGATTCCTAGTGTGAGTAGGATTCCTATTATTTACACACTACCGAAAATCCATAAAGATATAAACAATCCATCAGCCAGGCCTATTGTCAATGGTATTGGATCAGTCTCAGCTAGACTGGGACAATACCTTGACGTTTTCTTACAAGCTAGTGTATGTTCTACTAAAGCGTATTTACGGGATATCAAACATTTACTGACATTTCTTACTGAGACTCAGATCACTAATCAACAGGATATATCTAGTCACGGCGGATGTATCATCCTTATATACCATTATCCAACATGATGATGCCTTACTGGCACTCAGTTGGGCCTTAAGTAGGAGAGATGATATACCTTATAACTAAAAGAAGTTTTTGAGGGATGCCTTGGAATTTTGTTTATCTCACAATTATTTTTGGTACAACAGTGAATTCTTCTCCAAAAGAGGGGTGTAGCCATGGGAGCCCGCTTTGCGCCTAGTATAGCCAACCTGTTCATGGCAGAATGGGAGGATAGGTTTGTCTTCAATCAGGAACATGAACAGGTTTTGCTATATAAGAGATTTATAGAGGATATGTTCATGATTTGGGCAGGTGGTGAGAAAGAATTATTATTGTTTCTAGATGGGTTAAATATTAATCCTAATAATATCAAATTGGAATACCAATATAGTATGGAAATTGTTCATTTTCTAGATCTTACTATTTTTAGGAAAGATGATGTATTATTAACTAAAACTTACTTCAAACCCACTGACCGTAATAGCAATTTGCCTTGGTATAGTGGTCATCATCCGTTGTGGCTTAGAAATATACCTAAAGGTCAAATTATGAGACTGAGGAGAAATTGTTGTCAGGATAGTGATTTTCTAACCCAATCTGACATTATTGTCGATAGATTTGTGGATAAAGGTTATAAAATAGAGAATTTAAAAGGCACTGTTAAAGAAATACATAGGATACCGAGAGATCAACTTTTGGAAGATAGACCAAAATTGGAGTCAGATGATAGGCACCAATGGGGTTTTATCTCCAATTACCATACACAATTTAAAGATGTTGAGCATATTTTCCAAAAACATTGGCATGTATTGAAGATGGATAAAATATTAGGGAGTTTCATTCCAGATAGACCTATCTTCATATACAGAAAAGCTCCTACTATAGGAGATAAAATAGTCTAAAAAATGTTGGACCCGCCCTAACAAATGGGAATGTTTTGGGATAGAAAAAGTTTTTATTCTTGCAAGAAATGTTCTGCCTGTCGTATAGTAAATAATAAGTTTAAAGGATTAACTAAATGTAGCTCTAAATCTAATGGAAGAGAGTTTAATATATCCACATTTTTGACCTGTGAATCCACTCATGTGGTTTACGCTCTAGAATGTCCGTGTGGTCTAATTTATATTGGGAGAACAAAGAGACATTTGAGGGTTAGAATACTTGAACATCTTAAAAATATATTGAAAGGATATAAATACCTAGTATCTTTGCATTTCAGATAACACCATAATTGTGATCCAACTAATATTACATTTTGGGCTATCGAATCCATCCCCAAAGCCTGGAGGGGATCAAATAGGATTAGGGAATTATCTAAATGTGAGATGAAATGGATATATAGGACTGAAGCTTTATCTCCGAATGGTTTAAATGTTGAACTTGATTTAAATAGTTTTATTAGTGATTTTTAATTTTATTTTATTTTAATTTTTAGATAAAATTTTCATTTATGTCATTATTTAATGTATTTGATTTTAAATTTTATTTAATTTAGTTTGTTTATTAATTCGATTATGTATTTGATTTATCTGTTAAATATTTGTGGATACTGGTGATATATTTATTTATGTCCCAAATTGTCCAGTTGTTCATCTTAATTCTCATTATGTATGTATCTGCTGCTATATACTTTTCATACACAAGATGGTGCTGGTGATCGGATCAGGTGCGGGTTAATTATACCTGAGTTATCGGGCCATTCGCGCCATTCATTATTGTCATGGTTTTCAGTTGCCGCTTGTTAGAGTGACCAATGAGATGGTGGGCGGCTCTATAAGAGCTTGCTCCACACACTGCTTACCACACCCTCAGACGAAGTCGTGTGACGAAACGCTTTAGGGCGTGGTTAACCAGTGACGTCACCACGCACACCCTACCACGTGTCCAGACCACGTGACCGCAATGACGCCATCTTTGTAGCAGGCAGGCTGGTGAGACGCCACTGTGATAGCAGGGAGCTCTGATTTGATGATTTTAATCATACAATGCTTGTTTTTCACTAACTTGATGTGAGTGTGGTTTTATGGGGGATATTTGGAATAAATAGTTTCATACGATATTACACTATGGCAAGTGTTCTTTATTCTATTCACATGTGATCTATGGAATATATGGGATCTCTCAGCTGGCGTGAGCTAAGCTGTGGAATACATTATTATCATTGAATATACAAGGATATGCTGGTTTTTCACCAGTATCTGGTGAGTGTGTATTTTGATGGGGTGTTGAGCACTGGATTATGCACTGGTGATGGAAGACTTAAATTTTGCGTTTATTGAAGATCATATATATCATTGATGTGTGGATTTACTGAATGGACTTTATGAGGATTCTTTGAATATTTATTCATTTATTTTTCACACACATATATTTAATTTGGTGGTGGTTTTATTTATTTATTCATTTAGTGAAGCCCTATTATTTGTGGTTGTTATATATTTTATATATATTTGTGTCACATATTGAATAAACCCTAGAGATGGTTGTGTGTGAAAATCCCAGTAGATCAGCAGTTTTTGAAATACTCAAACCAGCCCGTCTGGCATCAACAACCAATCAACAACCTAAATCCCCTTTCTTCTCCATTCTGATGCTCAGTTTGAACTTCAGCAAGTCATCTTCACCACGCCTACATGCCTAAATGCATTGAGCTGCTGCCATGTGATTGGCTGATTAGCAATTTGTGTTACCAAGCAATTGAACAGGTGTACCTAATAAAGTGGCTGGTGAGTGTATACTGATGACCTTTATGTTTGTGAACTGAACATTTTTAAAAGAAAATTATCATGAGATAAAATACGTAGAAGTGTTATAACAACAAATTCATCTAGGTAAATCAAAATTAGAGGTAAAATAGGTAGTGGTATAATATCATAATCGAGCTTAATTTATTGTTCACATAAAGCTGCACATGAAACTTACCTTCAGCTTGTTCTCTTTGCGATTTAGAATAACTGCAGTAATTTGTTGGTCCATGAATAAAAGGATTGTGATTAAAATTGCTGGAACACCAGAAAGCAAGCACACCCACCATGGATTTCTCCCAAATGGAAACACAAACCAACTTCTGTTTGGGTTTGTTGGCTTTTAAGAAAGAATATGCAATATTAAAACTATAGCTTTATAAATGCATGTCAGGTAATTGATTACAAAACATTTTCCTTACAAATTTTAAATGATACATTCACCAAAAAGTCCCTCTAACAGCATACCAGGGTTTCCTGCATAAGGTCTTGTTTCACACGTATCCACTGCTTTGAGGCAACATATGATATTTTGCTCATTAGTATGCATTGTATTAGTCAACCCATTTATGTTGAATGGACAGCCAATGATCCACCTCACAGAAATAAAATGAAAATGAAGCTTTTTTTTTTCAATGCAATGCAACGTCTGTTGCAGTACACTTGCAAGATGCATTGGGATATCATTAAAAAGTATGCTCGATGTTTGCGTGACAGTGCTGGACATTATACACTATATTGGCAAAAGTATTGGGATGCCTGCCTTTACATGTATCTGAACTTTAATGGCATCACAGTCTTCGTCCGTACAGTTCAATATTGGATTTGCCCCCCCTTTGCAGCTATAACAGCTTCAACTCATCTAGGAAGCCTGTCCACAAGGTTTAGGAGTTTGTCATTCTAATTCATCCCAAGGATGTTCTATCGGGTTGAGGCCAGGACGCAGGCTCCTCCACCCCAAACTCGCTCATCCATGGTCTTTATAAACTTTGCTTTGTACAGTGGTGCGCAGTCATGTTGGAACAAGAAGAGGCCATCCCCAAACTGTTCCCACAAAGTTGGGAGCAGGAAGTTGTCCAAAATCTTGGTCTTGGTATGCTGATGCCTTAAGAGTTCCCTTCACTGGAACTAAGGGGCGAAGCCCAACCCCTGAGAAACTACCCCACACCATAGTCCTCCCTCCACCAAACATTACACTTGGCACAATGTAGTCAGGCAAGTACCTCGTTCCTGGCAACCACCAAACCCAGACACGTCCATTGGATTGCAAGACAGAGAAGCATGATTCATCACTCCAGAGAACACGTTTCCACTGCTCTAGAGTCCAGTGGTGGCATGCTTTACTTTTGGTGATGTAAGGCTTGGATACAGCTGCTTTGCCATTGAAATCCATTCCATGAAGCTCTCTCTATGCACTGTTGTGCTAATCTGAAGGCTACATGAAGTTGGAGGTCTTTAGCTATTGACTCTACAGACAGTTGGTAACTTCTGCGCACTGTGCGCTTCAGCATGTGCTGACCCCACTCTGTAATTTTACATGGCCTACCACATCGTGGCTGAGTTGCTGTTGTTCCCAGTTGCTTCCATTTTGTTATAATACCACTAACAGTTGACCGTGGAATATTCAGTAGCAAGGAAATTTTACGGATGGACTTACTGGTGACAACCAATCACGGTACCATGCTTGAATTCACTGAGCTCCCGAGAGCGACCCATTCTTTTCACAAATGTTTGTAGAAGCAGCCTGCATCCCTAGGTGCTTGATTTTATACATCTGTGGCCAAGGAGGTGATTGGAACCTGAATCCAATGATTTGGAGGGGTGTCCCAATACGTTTAGCAATATAGTGTAAGTAAAAATAGGTTCTGATGGATCTAAACATAAAGCAAATTAGTGATTGAAGTCTAGTATGAGTGGACCTTGCTCTGGTTCTGGGCTGCTACCTCACTGATTATGACATAAGGAAGCCCTTGCTAGATACTAGATTCTCAAATGTGTACAGAGGAGCACCTGGTAACATATAGTTACTTAGCTGCATAGTCAGGTTGAAATAAAAGAGACACTAGTCCTAGTTCAACCAATAAAATACAAAAAACCCACACACAAATAGAAAAGCTCCATATGCACTATTCTATACCCACAGTTCATTCAGGAGGAAGGCAAAAAAAAACATACCTTCCTTATCCCCCAGAAGGCAATCAGCTATTCCCTGGATCAACTAGCCCTGGTGTTATTACCTTTAAAAAATAGTATTCAGTTATATTTAGTGCATTTAGGAATGCATCCAGCTTCTTCTAAAATCTTCTAAGCTGTCCAGAACTAGAATCTCTTCCACATTTTCACAGCTTTACCGTTAAGAAGTCTTGCTGTATGTGAAGGTTAAATCTCTGCCCCCCCTTAATCGCCTCTTCTCAAGCTGAGAGCTCATAGCCAAGCTCCTTCTTGCCTCTTGATAACAGTTTGGTTGTACTTCTCTCTGCACTTCCTTTTTTTGTGAATTGGTGCCCAAAACTGAGCTGTATATCCCAGATGAGGTCTTACTAAAGATTTGCATATGTCTCTCTCTAGAGTTCATACCTCTTTTATGGCTAGTTCACACTAATGTGTGCCATGTGGCCTATGTTTGTGTGGGTACAGCAGCCCATTCATTTCAAATGAATGGGCTGCTGTGCCGCATTTCATGCAAGAAAAAGATGCATGCACCATTTCAAAAACGCATCCGCATGGTCTTTTAGACCATGTGGTTTCCCTGCAGTTCTCACACCCGTAAGCACACTGCACCCCTAAGCACATGTGGGGATGCCAATTCATAATGAATGGCAGGCCTGCGGGTCTTGTAAGAGCAGCGTGATTTGGCTGCGGATAGGGGAACCAATGCTATTTCCGTACCCGCAACAGAACGCACAGTGTGGGCTAGTGTGAACCTAGCCTCAATACAAGAAAGTATTTTGGTAGAATTAGAAACTGCAGCTTGGCATTGCATACTATTATTAAAGGCTATATTCTACCAGAACACCCAGACCCTTCTCCATCCCCTTGCTATTCTCCTCCTGGTAAGTACGGTGCATGAATGTTTTAGCCCCCAAGTGCATAATTTTACATTTATCAACATTAAACCTCATTTGCCACATAGTTGCCCAATTAAACAGTGCATTGAGGTTGGCTTGTAGTTTGGGGACATCCTGTCAGGATGTTACTCCACTGCATAGCTTGGTGTCTTCTGTAAAGACTGAAATGGTACTTTTAATCCCAGACCCTATATCATATTAAAGTCAGGGTTCCAACATGGAACCTTGGGGTACACTACTACTAATCTTAGACCAGTCAGAGTATAAATCATTATTCACTAGTCTCTGAGTATGGTCTTTTAGCCAGTTTTCTATCCATTTACAAACTGAACTTTCTAAGTCTGCAGACTTTAATTTATACATTAACTGCATGGGGGGAACTGTCAAGTGCTTTGGCAAAATCCAAGTACAAAAATTCATCTCACTTAAAAAGAACCTTTTGAAGCATTTAATAATTAACAACATTAGATACAGCCAATGTGTTTTGGGGGAACCCCCCTCAGGGCTTAAGCAATTGGTGTTAATAAAATCACAACAGCAAGGACAAAGGAACCTGTGTTAAGACTTGATGAAGACCAGCATCTCCTAATGACACTGTAGAAAGTGGTCTAATTGTAATTTTATTAACACCAATTGCTCAAGCCCCAAAATAGGGGGAGCTTTTTTTTTCCCTGAAATGTGTTGGCTGGATCTGAGGCTCTTTACCATTAAGTGTTTCAGAAAGTCATATTAGGAATAAATGTCACTGATAATCTTATATTACTATACGTTCTGGTGACAAGCAGTAAAACATGCACAAACAGCAATGCACAGATATGAAACTAGCTGAACAGTTAGATTTGAACAATGTAGCCAACAATGCCTGTGTTAAATAATGCTGATCATAATCAGTAATATTTAGATCTCTGAAAAAAAAATACCGACATCCAGGCTCTGGTAGCTTATGGTTAAAAAGTATGTATCTGAAGACATGAATGATGATCACTAACCCAGCTGCTCAGATTATTCCACTAGGACCTGTGGAATGATATACAAAAAGAACTATACATACCAGAGTGCTCTATGGAAAGTGACCACAAGATGGTACTGCAATGCAATGCTACCAGTAATCAGTTAAATTGTTACTAAACCCAGAACCCTGCATTCACTATATCTGGTCTCCCACAGTACACACTACATGGAAAAGCAATTATTTAAGTAAATATAAACTGCTAAATACCTTTTCTCATCAGCAGTTAGAGCAGTCTTGTGACTTCTATCAGTGTTCAGCAAAGCACTGGTTAAAGCTTGTAGGAGGAGTTTTCTTTCTGCTCTAGGAGGATGCAAAACCCCTGACCTCTGTCTCGACAGTGCTTATCACATGCACTCTCCCCAAAAAAAAAAAAAAACCTCTCTAGCAATACACAACAAACTGAGCATGTGCAGAGTGTCCCCACACAATATGTCTTATCAGGAGACAAGAGGGAGACACTAGAAGAAGGGGAGGATCAGAGGAGTCAGGATCAAACAGCATTTTTAAACAATGCAAAAGATTATCCGCTTAAGGTTCCACAGTGAGTATAACAAGCATGCTTTACTTCATATAGAGACTGATTTTACTGTTGTGGGTTTAGTAACACTTTAAAGGATCATACAAATCAAAGCCTAAGCAAAAGGTCCAATGTTAAAATGTTTATTTAGAAGTCAGAAAGTGGCATTGTGAGCCTTCAAAAGAATTAATAACGGTGAGCTTATCCAAACATGCATAGTGGAGGCAAAAATATGAGATGTTACATACCAGCCCATAGGTGAAGGGAACATCAGGAAGAGTAGTTGGTATAGCCCAATAGATGTTATATCCAGGGGAGTTCCGGACGTTCTCAGAGATGGAGATGGATTAACTCCACAGTAGCTGGCCATAGGCCTGAGCACTGGAAATGATGTTATGGTGGACCGGAAGTGACCTACCAGGAAGTACTAGTGGGTTGGGAGGACCTAATCCCTAGACAAAATTAAGTTTGGATGGCAAGCTACCAGGTTATTATGGCAATGCGTTTCACAGTCCTGCTGCTTTTTTCACAGCCACAGGGTAACCAGTATATGTGATAAATAAATTTGCAATATTATTATTATCCCTTACTCCAATAAGGAGGATGGCTGAATTGGGCATTACAACTATTATTCGGTCACAAAATTATCAAAAAAAAAAAAACCCCACAAAACTAAATGGATAAAATAATACCCTATTGAAAGGCAAAAATAAGAAATATAAAACAAAAGGCAGATGATTGAA